AATTTGTTTTAAAGTGATTATATCTGAGATTTTACTGAGGGAAGTTACCTTATTGAAATACCGTTGTTGTAGCTTAGTGTTAAATAAGGGAATAACGATAAAGTACAATAGAGACAAATATTGATTTATATAAAACAGAAAGTTTATATCCATTAAAAGAAAATAGGGCACCCGCACTAAATTTAGTTATATGTTTATGTAGAGACATGAAAATATGCGCAACAATTCATTGGTATTTTAAAAACAAATACAAATATTTTTTTTGTTATCAAACTGATTTGAAATAATTAAATAAATTAAGAAATTTTCTAACTGTAAAAATATGCAAATATGCATAAATTACATACATTTTTGTTTTTTTTTTTACATACCACGGGTTTCTGCGATCACCACATAGTCTGTAAAGAATATTTATTTATTCTATGGATTCAAATGGTTGTAGATATATATATTTTTATGAGTGACATGTTCTAAAATATAGTAGGAAATAAAACATTTATGGTTTAATGCAAAACTCCTTCAGGTTTGGAGTGACCGAACCGTAAAACCAAAGAGGTCAATTAAGGTAATCGATTAGACTCCGTGCTCGTGTGAAAGTTTCGACAAAGAGTTGAAGACTACCCTGTCCAGCGCAGCGAGCAGATCAGAAGCTGTAGTTAGCCCGGAGCCACGCTTTGTGAACGTGGGGGCGCCACTTTGATCGTCCGCTAGGTAATTTGGAAAAACGTTATTTAATTAACTTTCGACAAGTCTGAGTAATCGCGTTACAAAGCCGCCGGGCGAACGGTCAAGTCTTTGAGGTCGGCCGAACTTGATTTTTACGCCAAACACCGCGGGTGCCGGTATAAAGCGCTGTCATTTCCACGTGCTTTCCAATTAACATCCGCCTTTGACCGGAGCAACTAGCACCTCTTTGTTGTTATAGTTTAACCGTTTAGTTTTTAGGGCGCCTGTAACTGAGACTCTTTACAACGAGTAATTTTAAAGTTGACATTTTCATCAAACTATTAATTGTGTATGTGCCCGTTTTCCTACCTGCCATGTATTATGTTTCCTGTTTCTTTTACAAAATGGTATTTTCAATGATTAACAATTCACAGGAAAGCATTTTTCCAGACGATCGTTATTAGACAAATGATATTAAGATTCGCGTAGACTATACTAATCTTAATAATTGTACATTTATTAATATCATTAAATGATCAAAGAAGTTTTTTAATCGTTTAGTGGTATTAATTAATTATTGCCGTATCAAATACATATGTAAATTGATTGCTTACAATGCATTTGAAAACTACTACGATTAATGGACGCTATCGGATTTTAGAATTACGTTTACAAAAACACACATTGAAACGCGATTTTAGAATAAACGCGAACCGTTATCAGTTTTCCTATTTTGATAGTTAAGAGGCCTAATAAAATTTAAGGACTGTGACAGGCAAAGTGCCAACGGAATAATCCATCCATTAGCGACACTGGACAATAGTTTTATGAGTTACCAAAATAAGTTTGGTGGACGTTTAAAGTTCGGCGCGTTTGGCGCGTTTTGTGGCGCGCGGACGGGCGGGTAGGCGAGTCCGTTCGGCCTGCGGCGCTGCGGCGCCCGAGACCAGATAATTAACTCTATGAACTACCCTCAAACAAGACAAGTACAATTAGAAATTCGCTTTAAAGCGTTAATAAACATCATTAGCTGTGCTTGCGAAAGTTTATCAAACAATGGACCAGCCAGTTTCGGAAGGGATTCTTTGACCGAAGTAGGCTCGTTCCGTATGAACAAGCCGTGCATATAAACAAAAGCGTATTCACTGAGCAGTTTAATTGCATTTCTTTGCTTCCGTATGTGATGTATGTGAATATTCTTTTAAAACTGAGCCTTGAAATATGTAATTGGCATAAGCGTATCTCTGTGTTATAAACGTTGTTTACCTAATATAACAAATTAATGTGCCTACAAACTTTAATGAGAATATGTAGGAAGAACCAGTTAAGAGCGCGTTCTTATGGTTTAGTATCTCATCTGGTACATTAATACATAAATTTAACAATATATTTTTACCTTAATGAACAGAGTAGGTACATGTTTGATCACAAATTAAAAAAAGAAAAGATAGAAACGCTTTTATCGACCTCCATAGCCGAGTGGTCCCGAGTGGTCATCTCTGAGATCCCGTGTTCGATTCCCAGTCGGGTCAATGTTGAAAATGCAGTTTTCTATATTGTCTCGGGTCTGGGTGTTGTGGTACCTACATTGTCGCAGATACTCCATGATACGATGATTTTAGCTTCTCATCTTGGAATCTGAGCAATGTATATGATGTTGTATAATTTTTATTTATTTATTATAACAACAAATCCGAATTGACACTGTTTAATACAAATAATGGATTTATGTTATTTTTCCATTCGGAATATTATTTACCTTTTTGATTTTGAAAGAGCATTTCTCCTGCCTTTTATTTATACGTGTCTATGGTACCTATAGTAAAGTAAGTGTCCTTAATGTATGACAGTAATCCCACAGTTAGGAATGAACACAAATGGTTTGTGAGTGGAGGGTCCTCCCCGTCCCACCGCTCATTCATCCCCGTTTCGCTTATGATTCGTGAATTTTTAACCTCTTTGAATGGACTTGTAGTCGTGGCTAATAATAATTTTACAACAGTCAGTACATATAAAATATATTTCCATTTGGGTGTTTTCAACATGTCTCGTTTCCAAATTGTCATTGTTAGGGTTAAATAGTTTGCAATAAAACGTTAATGTGGTATAGTATTAAAGTTTAAGCCTTTATCATGGACATGAAGTTGTTAGATGTCAAATAGATTGATTTGAGAATCGTTTGACATTTTTTTTAGAAAGTAGCACATTTTCTAAAAAAATGGGAATACTTAAAATGTTTTCTTTTTCTATGCGACGATAGTTATGAAGCTATTTCGAATAAAAAATGAAATTTAATCACTATAAAGCAAAATAAGAACAAATGTGACGGTAGATCCGACAAGTGTTTCACTGGACGCTATTATGCGACAAATCCTCGGGGTCATGATTTTCGAAATGTATCTACTCTCAGATTCCTAATCAATCACTAATACATGTTTAATTATTAATTATAATTATTTTATATTGCGAATTTTGATAATTATATGAGTCACTATGTAGCCGAGGAGATATTGAACAATAATTGTAATACTCGTAGTTTGCTAGTAATTTTAAATTACGCGCAATATACTATACTACCACCTCTTTTGTCTCATTGTCTGATCTCGCGATTGTCTCGTTTCCTCTTAAGTTTTATGTGCATTCTTAATGCGTTTAAAACGTTTAAGATTCCTTTTGATTAAAATTCTTGTTTCCAAGGTCTGAACTACAAAGACGGGGCGAGCGGTGGTCGCCCGACACATGTCACTGGTTTTACGATGCAGCAGGTCCACTATCGTTTTATCGCCCCGTCGTAGACAATAGCAAATTACGCACTTTAACGCGCGTACTGTGTCGGTTAATTAAGCCGTATCCGACTGCGAAATTACTTTTTATCTAATAATGTGAAACGCGGTTTCGTTTTACAATTTGCGCTTGATAAATAAGCTTTTGTTTCTCGAAGATTATAGTAGTTTGTTAGCTGTGTTACATATTTGTTACATTTACAAAGCATCGGCGATTTTGTTCTACAATAATATTTGTTATCTATGTATGTACATCAGATACACCAGATTACAGATTATCAATTAATTTCAAATTTACGTAAAGGATTTTTTAAAAAAATATTTTGTATATCTTCAAGTTTATACGGCTGCTATGAAGGAGTATGAATAAGAAAAACTTACTGATTAACTTAACTGATTACTAAATTTAATCCTTTAAGTATATATGAATTTATTTTATATAATACATACCTAGTTAGTAAAGCGACGTTTTATATATTATTTTAAGTCTACATATGTCACGTTAATAGTTCTCTACATTCTAAATTGTTGACTGATAGTGAATAATATGTCTAGAGTATTTTGTCATCATTTGTCGCATTTTTTGACAAAGGAAATAAAATAGTTGATGTACCGGTTTTGGCACTTATATCTATAATTTCGTCAATTATCTTATATTGCTTTTATGTTGAATTATTTCAATCTTTGCACTTTGATAGTTTGATAATACAGTTAAGAAGCTATGCTGAATGTAATAATGTAACTAATTGTATCCAAATGAATTAACCCACGTGTGTGTCACCTACATAAATGGTTTATTATATAAAACTGTACTGACATATTAATCGATTAAATGTTACGAATGCTTGCCTAACTTTGCCTCTACGTATCGAATTTAAGTAAAGTAAATAGAGAAGTTTTAGAGATCAACTTGTCGGTTTTGATTTAACAATGAATAATTTATGAATTCGAAATATTAAATGCAACTGTTTGTCTTATGATCGGTAGCTTTAAGTTTTGGTATGGTTATCTATCGATTAGAAACAGAAATATCCGAATCGAGACTTCTCTCAATTAAAACAACCTTTAAAACACATTTTAAAAAAGTCTTATTGGAACATCAACAAAAAGGTATTGACTGATGTCGCCTGGATGGCGGATACTTGTGGGGTCTTGAAATTCGTTGTCCTCTTTATTTGATGGTGATGTTAAGTATTTGCGTTCGAGTTTCAGACATTTATATTATGATTTCATTTCTAATTGGTACAATTTTATGTTTAAATGTATTTTTAATTTATATTTATGAACTTATTTTATACGCTTTTCTTTATTTATTTTTTTTATTCAATAAGAATATGATGATATGCTTTTATGATTTAACACATTGGTCTTTGGTTCCCCGCTAATCCAAACTTAGGTCAAAGCTGAAAATCGGCAGTTTGCTTTTCAAGCAAACATATTGCTGAGCTTTTGCCCTTTTTGCATCGTCCCGGCATACATGTTGCCCTATGTGTGTTTTAATCGCTTGTTTAATTTAATTTTTTTTTTAATTTTAATTTGTTTTTATATTTTATGTCAGTGTATATTTAGCATGTTGTGCTGTGATTATTGGTAATAAAATTATCATTCATTCATTCATTCAATCGAAACGTAATTTATTGCCAATATTCTTATCTGAGTGCTAATATTAACCTGGAAGCAGTGTAGACACGAAAACAGTTATAAAAAAGATTATTTTGCTCTAGTCATATCAGACTGGTCGACTTACATGCATTTTTTTAGTAAGAAAACGTTTATAGCAAGCGCATTTTATATTATAATAGATTTTTAAGTAACTGCAAAAGTGGAAGTTCGGCGACATCTGTCTTAATTTTGGACTGATGTATAAATGGCATAATAATAGGATGACTTTTTTGAAATCTCTATGGTGACATAATACGGATTTCATTCACGTAGGTACTTAATGATGATAATGGTTATTAATTATTAATATTTTGTAGGTATAATTCAATACGATTTTTTGTATAGAAAATGTCGGAAAACTAACGGTAAATCAATGTTTACTGGATTTAAATATCACCATATGTACGGATCCTTAGAATAACATTATGAATTTAATTTTCTTCGGTATTGAACAAATAAAGGTTCCTACCTCCTCAAAGTCCCGATGCGAGCGAGGTTGCGCGGGCACGGGGCCCGGCGCTCATTCCCGCGATCGGCGCGGGCGCCCCACTTTGCCCTTACGTACGGGCGCGGTGGGGCCCGCCCCCGCGTTCGCACTCTTCATTAATTTTTGCCAGTCCTGCTCGCAGACTAGTGACCCCGCGAGCATGTAATACCTGAAGGGGAACTTATGTAAGTTTACTTAATTACAAACACACATAAACACACGTCTCTGTGTTCTGTTGTTTCGGATGCTATTCTTGTCTCGTAAGAAGCGTAATTTTAGGTAAACTAAGTGTAGTAAGTGTAAAATAATTATTTTGTTGACTGTTTGATTTTAAATGAAAAAGTTTGTTTTTTAGAAAATTACATTTTTTTTATGAGAGCTTACTGAGGAAGAGGACACTCTGCGTCTAATACCCGATATTATAAGTATTTGACTCCACATAGGTTCGGAATAGGACAGGAAGATGACGATGACGATGAATAAACATGAATTTATAAATAAAATGTGACGCATTTTATAAGTGTACGTGATAGTTAAATTTAGATCAATCAATTAAGTTCAAAAATTAACATCAAAAAGAGCCAGTAAATGGTAAATATACACATAAAGATGTCTTTTAATACTAACCTATCACCCTGCATTAGGTGTGAACCACATTTGGAGCAGGCGAAACACTTTATGTGGAAGACGTGTAGTGGCTGCTGCGGTGAATTCGTTCTCATGACAAATTCGCTCGCGGGGATGGCTTGACCGCACGCTGCACACGCACCGCCTGAACCGAACATTCTAAAACAACAATAAGAATTTTGAAATTAGAATATACCAAAAATAAAACAATATTTTATTTTTATTTTGATACAATAGAAAATTCAGACAAAATAGGTTCGTTACGTAACCTGTTTGGGTTTTAATAATAAGTACATATAATATTGAAAATGTTTGCCTTGAATTTTTGGATTGTTTGAAGAATATGAAAGATGTCCTCAAAAACCATTAAAACACTAAAAAAATATGTTTAATTACAATAGAAAAATGCTGTTTAAGTATTAATTTATTAGAATAATAAAATAGTTTCCCCAATTTCATTAAATCAGCTTGTATAGTAGGTGCAAAATGTTAATATTACTCTATTCATACATTGAGAATTTAAAATTTGTTAGAGATTTATCCTATGCTATAGATTTTTCCTAACCTATCGTACGGTACGCGATATTTATGTGTTGTTGGTGTAAGAAAAATTTCGAGGAATCACAATTTGCACGGGTTTTGTTTTCCTGGGATTTGTTTCAGTAATAAATAGGATTTCTCTACAAAAGAAATAAGTTTGGTTATGCAATCGCTAATAGCTTCCAGTATGATCCCTTTATTAACGAAATGAACCAATATTAATAAATCGCAACAACAATCAAGGGAAATGTAATCAAGATTTAATTACCTAGTCTCGTTCTCATGCAATTTCGATCGTTCAGAAACTGGTTAAAGATAAATTTGAAAGTCTTGAAAGATAAATTCGCTTCAATCATTCGGAGCAAATAGGATTTCGTTTCATTTACTCCGGTAAGAGCGTTTTCAATTAAGGAGCGCCCGACAAACAGTATCGGCGTATGAAGGTAAAATTAATTAAACTGAGCCAAGACAAACATACAGTACGAATCTATTTGTGTTGGCCGCTCGCGGATAAGGCCGCGCAACATGCTCTATATAGAATGTGGAGACGCTATAAAATTTTATGATAAGTACGTATGTGCAAATGTGACCGAAAGTCCGATGCGTTTTACGGAGGCATGCATAAGTAAACGACGGATAGGCGGATAGGCGTCGTGTGTGCAAGGTCGTATTTGTCAGTTTTCACGTTCCATAACTGACACTGCGATAAATTTTCCGCTAGATATGCATCGACCCTAATATATTATCTTAAAAATGATACTCGAAAAATAAATTATCTAAGGGATTGGAACCGTTCACTGAGCTAGAGGAGATCTTAATGACATTGTCGAATTTCTCAAGCACTTTTCTTAACAGCAGAAAGGAATATTAAAAGTATGGTTCATGTTGGGACGATTCTGAAATATTAATGTAATAAAGAAGAAAGATCCGATTTTTGTTTCTTTGAAAATAGATAAACTCATAAAGTCCTGGATCCTGGATCTATTTTAAAAATTCTTTCATAAAGTTTCGGTAGTGTATATTGAACTAATACATGATATTACAACTTTTTAATTAATTTAAAAGAGATCATAATAATTGGGTTTGTTGTAGGTTGTTTTTTTCGTAAAAGTTTCTTGCCGTGGTGTCAAGTCAAAATCTCAAATAGAAAATAGTTCACTCAATGAGGGAATTTAAATATCATGAGAAGTAGTTTAATTGTCCTCTCTTTGATCATTAAACAATATTTTAAAGACTGCAAACATAATTTATAATGATTTTGATTATTACATCTCCAAAAAAAAAAAGAATTAGCCATCATTAATGTCAGTTCCAGTTTTGGCTATAATTAAAAGCCGTTAAGTTCCCCAAATTACTAATAACAACACCCATAATAAGTTTCAAGTCTGCAGAGAGCCATTTCACTACATTATAATGAGGCGGCAACTATCAACGCCCCTTTATTAAACTGTTATAAAACAAAATAATAAAGATGACACTAATTAGTTAATAAACCGTGGAACATGTCCAAACAAGTTTCTTAATCACTCTTAAAGCAGACCCTCGTGAATGGAGTCCATTAATTACGAACGTAACGCATTAACATATGTGAATAAGGTTTTATTTATTCGCCCGTTAATATTGTAAATGTAATTAAGTTACGGCAACTCGGGGGTCACTTCCAAAACTGTCTATTACCTTACGCCTATCTTTGATTTCATTTAATACTTCGCAAGTTTAAAGAGTTTGTAATCGGATGGAACTTTTAGGTTTCCTTTTATGCTGGTATTAATTAACGAGTGTATGTTTAACACGAGTTTAATAAATGGGGAAGTTTGGAGCTCGCCTCGTACAACGGTGCCTATTCGAAGTTTATTTGCCTTCGTTACGTGTAAAATTGAATACGTCGCTGAATCCTCATTAATTTAAGATGAAGACTGTATCTTGACATGTTATTTTATTCATTAAGGGAGTGTCTCGAGTCGCGCGCGTTTATGTATGTTATACTCAGGATTGTTTTGAAGAACACCTTTACATGATCATTAAAGAAACGGTAATGTGATAGACTGAAATAGCTCTAACCCTCTCGTTCTTTTTTGGTTTATAAATATCTTCCTCACATCAAAATAATCTCAGTCTATACACATGAAAATAAAAAGAGACTACCTGACGATTAAAACACAGCACAAACTAAGAATCTAGGATTTCGAAAATGGGAAAGATATGATTTTCAGTAATTCAATGCGTATGTATGAAATTCCGTAACTTTTTATGATATTAGTTAATGTTTCTCACTAACCAGTAACCTTTATGTTAATCATTCTTCACGATTGTCAACTGTAATGAATTGGAAAGATGAACGTTCGGCAACAGAACATTCCAAATTTAAATACATTTTGTACATGTATGGAGGTTACACCATTTTTTATTTTCAATTCAACTTTAGTGAAGTCTAGATAGGTAAAGAAATAAAAGTACTGACTGGCTATAAAAAGGTTAGGAGTAATAAGTGTATGGTGGAGTGGGACGAGAGGGTAGTCGATCGGGACTGGAGACAAATGGCTCTCAATAAAGCCGAGATGCGTCCGGGCGGGATGTCTAACTTGTTGCTTCGGAAATCGCGTCTGCTTACCAAGATTGAGTTTTCTTTATGAAATTATTCTTTAATTTACGGTAAGAGTTTTTGGATCGATCCATAAGACTATATTTAGCTTATTTTACGCTTTAGAAGTATTAGGTGCTTAGAAGATTATTATTATACATGATAATGTCAAATAATGATGTCCGTTTATAGGCTTTACGAAACTTTATCATTTTTTTTTTCTTTCAAAGTTCTAATACACTTTGAAAATATATATGCTGTTCGTTGGTAATTTTAATATTTTATAACAATGACGACATTGTGATTATGATTTGTATAGAACCAGCAGCCCTATCTGCATCGGTGTATCAAGTTAGTACGTCGCTAACAAGAAACTCGTTAGGGACGCGTGCCGCCGACAAGTCAAGAATTTCCTAATGATATATGCGATCCGCCGCCGCTACCGCCATCGCACCCGCTCATAGCGCCTCTACCATAGCGAGTTCAAATGATAAAAACCGGTCAAGTGCGAGTCTGAGTCGCGACCGAAGGATTTTGTATCCAAAAGGAGTATAAAAATTTCATATGTTGTATGAGAGCCCCCTTCATAATATACTCGTCTTTTTTCATTATTTAATTGTTGAAGCGGCAGCAGAAAGACATCATCTATGAAAATTTCAACTAACTTTCACGGTTCAGGAGATACAGCCTGGTGACAGACAGACAAACATACGGCGAAGTCTTAGTAATAGGGTTCCCGCTTTACCCTTAAGGTACGGAACTCTAAAAAGAGGTGTTATTATATTCATATAGATACAACGCAAGTGTCTCTAATAAATAAAAATTACACTAAGTCTACACGCGCAATGGTGATTTTGTCTTGGCGACTTATTCTTCCTGCCACCGTGTTCCTGTCATTTCTATGGAAGTTACCTGATAATCACTTGTTCAAGTGCTAGCGACGATGGAAAGATTCTCAAGCACGTTGACAGGAAAGAAAGTCACGGTGACAACCCAAGTGACATTATGTTATATAATTAAGGCGTTTTGTTTTCATATAGTGACAAGAAAGATCTATAATAGTCACAATTGTGACTGCGTGTACTATAATGACTTCGGTTGTTAAATAACTTTTCGATTGTAGCTGAATAGTGATAAAAAAGGGTATTTGAGAATGACGGGCCGCACGTGCCAAACCCTCTTTACATATCACCAGCCCTTTTACGCCCCCACTGCAGGGGCTCAGGCCTTCCTTATGGATGGTTAAGGAGGATGGGCCATGACCCTCCACGCTGGCCCAATTGGAGGGTATTAACGACTGCAAATGCAGCCGGGACCAACGGCTTAACGTGCCTTCTGAAGCACGGAGTAGCTCGAGATAATAATTTTGGTCACCCATCCCATGACCGACCCTAGCGAAAGTTGCTTAACGACTACGATCGCGGGCCGCGGCGCTTATCCACTACGCCACCGAGCTACAAACCCTCTTTACATACAAAGAAATTAATAAATTTTGTTAATCGCATTACCTTAATATCACCTCGTGGTATTGTGATTGTGACCTGTACTCAGAAAGGTATATTGAAGTTAATTTTTAAAAAGGCTGTCATTCATTTGTAGAGACTTTTAATATATGTAATAAATCAATTTATGTAATGTAATCCAAAAATTTTTTTTAGATATGTACAGTTTTATTTCATCATTAGTCAACACTCTGAATACGATATACATTCAAAATGACATACCTATTAAAACAATAGACTCCCAGACCAAGTTCCATAAACTCGTTTCAAACTCCCCTCTACACACTCTATCGGCGATTTTTAATTACGTCCCTAGCGAGCGGCAAGCGAGCAAAGTAACACCATCAATTCATTATCCTAAACTCTGGCTCGATTGTTCGCTCGGTACTTACGCAAACTTTCATTTTAATCAAGCGTTTAATTAAAAATTATCCGAGAAAAACAAAATAAGCCCGTTAGGGCGGTCTGAACTAATTAAGGCGCATGCGATGAGCCAACCGACAACAGGCCGTGAGTACGCTCACCTTTAATTAAAT